GTATTTGACGCAGGCTTATGGGCTGTGAGGTTTACGATAAACGAAACCTCCAGATTTTCCTTATTTTTGTTGTTACTATAGACGTGGTCCTGCCTGTAGATAACCTACTGAAGCCCTTGAAGAAGGTATAAGGGAAGATCATCAAACTATTGCTGAACAGCAACATAAGATATTCGTACAGGCCAGAAGAAGAATAAAGAGGCCCAGAAAAAAGAAATGAGAGGGGTGAATGTTGAAAGAAAGGTAGAATTGAAGGTTTGGAGACCCTGTCTACTATAAAATCCACCAGAGAGAAGGAAATTGACCAGAGATGGGAAACCGTACTACCGGATAGTGGAGCAGACGGGCCCAGTATCATATGTAATATGACTCAAGCGGCAGGACGAGCGAGGAGGGTTCATGCCAATGATCAAAGAGGGCTGAAATAGCTAACCTGAAATGAGCGAGCGAGGCCTAAGAAGACAAGGAAAAGGAAGGTAACTCTGGTTGAACTGAAGGGAATGGAGAGACGAGGAAGACTCTGAAGAAGATGAGGAGATAAGTCGACTTGACCAGATAAAATCAGCAGTCCGAGTGACACAGTTGGAACCCCTCAAAGGGATTAGCGATGTTCAATGTCGACTGAGTCAGTGCAGGAAGACCCCTGTGAGATCGCCATCACCCCCCATGTCCGAAGAAAAGGAAGCAAAGACGAAGAGGTCCAATCACAGTCGAAGGCTCTAAAAGAGGCACCCTGAACAAGACGAAGGCCCAAGGAGTGGGAGGAGGAGGATCGAATACCCCTTTCCCAGCTTTAAGGAAAGGATAAGGAACAGGAGAAGCTTAGACATAGAGTCGAGAGGTATTGAAGACATTCAAGAAGACTCTAAACAGAAAAGAAGAATCAGGGGATGAAGAAGAGGAAAAACCTCCTGACAGGAGTTAAACACAAAAGAAGGTTAGAGGTTGAACAGGAATCACCTCAGAAGATGAGATCAGGAGGAGAAGAACCCCCAAATCTCAGTAGAACAAAAGGGCTGTGCAGAATAGAGCATTTAGTGTCGACAGATAACGACACTGGCTCATCCAAGATCCTATTGGCTGACTATGGTAGATGTGAGTGGAGGGATGGAGATGCGGGCTGCACCTCACGAGGAACGGAAGAATTATTGGCATTATTGATTGGCCATCAGTGGTGTGCTTCGCTGAAGTACGACCTTTGAGTGAAGGCCACGCACACCTGACCAGACCATTCTGGTCTGCTAGGAGGTTGAAGAGGAGGGAAGAGCTGAACTGTAAGGAATTATAGGATAATTGATTAAAGAATTGTGGAAGTACTATAATGTCTTGGATGTGTGGGACCTTGTTAGAAAATAGGCGATTATTGCAGTGATATCTGTCCCGTTACTAGATAGCGAGAGTATTTCGAGATATACCAGGTTATAAACTTACCCATTCCCTACCCCAGAAGAGATCAAGGTTTGGGAATGATAGCAAGGCACAAGGTGGAAGCAGACTACATAGCATTAAATCTGGGAGAACGAAATTCATGTTGCTATCAGCTGAAGAAGCTTAGAAGGTGTAGAGATGATACCCTGGGGACTTGTACCTCGTTGAGCCCTATCTATAAAACTGGTAACCGCAGACTGTGCATACTAGAATTGTTTGAAGGGAGGGGGAAGGAATCAAAAGAATCTGCCAAGTAGAGGGTATTAACAAACTCGGTATTACCACAAGCTATCAGTGTTTCAGACGGGGTGTGGGCAGTAGCCACACAGAAACATATCAGCCTGTCTAGGGTATGGGGGGAGAGTCCATGTTGACATTAAGAATAAGGGCCACCGTTATCCCTGAGACGCTACCCATGGGATGTTCGGCGGTTGGGGGTGTCCATCTACCCCCCTATTACCAGATCGAAGAAAGGTATGAAGAAAGAGATTCACCTGTAGAGGCTGATTGGTAGAGGCTTAATAATTGTACAGAATTATGGGAGCGATAGTGAAGAGATTCTAATGTTACCTTAAATAAGATGCCAGTATTAATGAAGCCAATAGAAAAGATCGATATATGGATCACTTAATATATAAGTTAAGCGCGTTGGGAGACGAAGGTGTGCTTGGGAAGACGACGAGCAGATCGCGATAAGTTGGTCAATAGTAATGGGTACATTCCAGTTGCAGCCATCGGGGGTGTAATAATATGGAAGATTAAGAGTAAGAGAAAATTAGCGAACGACAGTCTAGTGAGCATGCAACAACCTCGAGAGGGATGCCGAGCAGTGTTCCTTACTCAGACAGGACTGGCGATAAATGCTGAAAGACCAATGGAGGAGGCTAAGGGAGACCACCACGTGGGCGGAAAAACCTCCCACGGCAGGAAAAACATTGACCAAGAAGAACAAACCCCAGTGAAACACATCTGCACCTACAGACACACGCACACATTACCTTGCATGTAGAAATAGAAGAAAATGAAAAGAACATTACCTTGCATGTAGAACAAAAAGAAAATGAAAAGAACATTTCATTGCACGTAGAACAAAAGAAATGAAAGAACATTTCATTTCATGTAGAACAGAAGAAAATGAAAAGAACATTACATTGCATGTAGAACAGAAGAAAATGAAAAGAACATTTCATTGCATGTAAACAGAAGAAATGAAAAGAACATTACATTGCCTGTAGAACAAAAAGAAAAAAAAGAACACTTACTGCATGTAGAATAAAAGAAAATGGAAAGAACATACCTTGCATGTTAGAAAGTAGAATAGAATTGCATGAGACAAATGCATGGTGCATGTTAAATGATGTAATTAGTTTAGGTGTCATTTACGGGTAAATAAATAAATCGGTTAGGGAGGATTGTGGCAATCTTGCATTATTAGAAATGTTGATAGAAATATGATTTAATTTTTTACTGGTTTATTAAACAGGTTGTTGATTTTTTTTTTTAAACGGAAAATAATTGAGTTGAAAATAATTCACTTAAAGTTGTACTTTAGACGATCCTAAGGAAAAGAAGAAGGAAGGGGAAAGAAAAGAGGAAGAAAGGGAAAAAAGGAAAGAGAGATGGATGATGCATGACCCGGTCATAAGCGAAGATAGGTGTCAGAAAGATATCTTGGCCTGCGTGTTGGCCCGAATTTTAAAAGACAATAGAGAATTGTTATTTGAAATGAAAAAATAATTTAGAGGGAGAAACAGAACCAGGCTTGATTACAGTGTATTGGCGATAAGAATATCGGTCAAAGCACCTAGCCTACTTTTGCGTGGAAAGACTCATTGTCAAATTGGAGAAAGGGGAATTTCTTTAGAACAATAGAAACGAAATTTTTTTAATCGGAGAAAAGTGTCTTTGGGAGTGGGGGAGTGACCGGTGAACGGTATACAGATTCTGACCTATTAAGAATTGGAAACCCACGATAATAAAGTGGGGACATTTTTTTCAATGTAGATAATTAAGATTTTCTGACTGTCGGGTCGACAAAAACAAGAGGTAAAAAACGATTGTCTCAGCTCACAGATGGCGCCAATATTCTTCCTGAAGTCACATCTAATTAGCGGCAGGCTGTTTTGACAGAGCCCAGGTGAGAAAAAAAAGCCAAGATTGTCATTTTTTTCGTACGTGCAAAAAGGGCAAATTAGATTTTGTTTTTTAAAACAAGAACGATGTAAGCCACGCCCGATTTGAGATGGAGGCGCCCAACCACAATCTCATTGGCCGAGGGCGGTCACGTGATATGCGGAAAGAAGAGGAAGAATGCTCGATCAGGAACCATTGGTCAAAAACGGTCACCTGACATACGAAAACCGGGAGAGAGGTGTACGCTTCCCACCAAAGGCACGGGAAGTAGGGTGAAAACAATAGCGATAATGGGGAAACAGAATTAATGCGGCTATTGAATTATCGAGCCCCTGACGCCAAAGGCCCACCCCGGTTTGCTGCGGCGTCAATAAAAAGCAGGACCCGTCGACAGAAATCAGTTGAGTTGAAAACAAGAGTTGCGGAAGAAATACCCATCGAAGACAAGAGAAACCCAGAAGACAAGAGAGAACTTCCAGCCCAAGTAGACGAAGAAGAAGATTACCTCGAAAGCCGCAGAGAAGATCCAGCACAAGTCGAAGACAAGAGAAGTTCTTCTTTTAATGATCGATAGAAATTTCAGCCCCAGACGAGCTAAACCATACATAAAAAAGAGTAGGCAATTCGAAATCCTTTTTTAGAAGCTTGTTACAGTCCAGTCAGAGCGGTCGGAATTGAGAACAATTTTGTTTTATAACGGACATTAGATATAAAGGTTGTTTTTTTTTTTTATCAGCAATCCTTTTGTCTCGTGAGTTTTTTTTTTTACTTGTGTTTTGCCACCCCTGTCGGACTCAACTTGTATCGGCCCCTAATCCTGCTGGTCCCGTCTGTCTAAGATCTAAACACAGCGTGGGTAGACAGACCGGAGATCAGCAAAGTTGCTTCAGTAACCAGGTATTGGAAGCGAGTTGGGAAAGGCGAGGCTGGTGATCATCTAACCAAGGGGTTGGAGCGGCACGCTTGGAACCAGGAGGAGCGACCAGGAGGAACGACGTCACAGTTGGCGCCGTAATCATGGGATTCGACCCGGGCCCTGTGCAACCGTCAAAAGTGTCCAAAAGTTTCGTCATTTCTATCAAGTGTGTTCAGGCAGTTTTAAGTGTCCAAAAGCGTTTCCTCGGCATTTCTATCAAGTGTGTTCAGGCTTCACTTTCAGTTTCAGTGTCCAAAAGTTTCCACGGCATTTCTATCAAGTGTGTTTCTCTTCACTCTCCAGGTTTTAAGTGTCCAAAAGCGTTTCCTCGTCATTTCTATCAAGTGTACCAGGCTTCACTCTCCAGTTTCAAAGTGTTTCCTCGTCATTTCATCGAGTGTGTTCAGGCTTCACCAGTTTCAAGTGTCCAAAAGCGTTTCCACGGCATTTCTATCAAAGTGTGTTCAGGTCTTCACTTCCAGTTTAAGTGTCCAAAAGCGTTTCCTCGTCATTTCTATCGATTATGTTCCAGGCTTCACTCTCCAGTTTCAAAGGTGTCCAAAAGCGTTTTCCTCGTCATTTCTATCAAGTTGGTTCAGGCTTCACTCTCCAGTTTCAAGTGTCCAAAAGCGTTTCCTCGTCATTTCTATCAAGTGTGTTCAGGGTTCACTCTCCAGTTTCAAGAGTCCAAAAGTCATTTCTACGTCATTTCATCAATTGGCTTCAAGTGTGTTTCAGGCTTCCAAAAGCGTCTCCTCGTCATTTCCAAGTGTGTTCAGGCGTTTCCAGTTTCGTCATTTCTATCGATTATCAAGTTGTTCAGGCTTCACTCTTCAGTTTCAAGAGTCCAAAAGCGTTTCTTCGTCATTTTTTTTCTATCAAGTGTGTTCAGGCTTCACTCTCCAGTTTCAAGTGTCCAAAAGCGTTTCCTCGTCATTTCTGTCAAGTGTGTTCAGGGTTCACTCTCCAGTTTCAAGAAAAGTTTCCAAAATTATGTTCAAGCTTCCTCGTCATGTCCAAAAGCGTCTCTTCGTCATTTCATCAAGTTTGTTCAGGCTTCACCTCCAGTTTCAGGCCAAAAGTTTCATCTCCAAGTTTGTTCAGGTTCAAGTGTCCAAAAGCGTTTTCTCGTCATTTCTATCAAGTGTGTTCAGGCTTCACTCTCCAGTTTCAAGAGTCCAAAAGCGTTTCTACGTCATTTCTATCAAGTGTCAAGAGTCCAGGCTTTCACATTTCTTCAGTTTTCAAGAGTCCAAAAGAGTCCAAAAGTTTCCTCGTCATTTCTATCAAGTGTGTTCAGGCTTCACTCTTCAGTTTCAAGAGTCCAAAAGCGTTTCTACGTCATTTCTATCAAGTGTGTTCAGGCTTCACTCTTCAGTTTCAAGAGTCCAAAAGCGTTTCTACGTCATTTCTATCAAGTGTTCAGTTTTCCTCGTCATTTCTGTCAAGTGTCCAAAAGGCTTCATTTTCTCAATCTATTCAGGCTTCACTCCAGTCAAGAGTCCAAAAGCGTTTCTCCATTTCATCAAGTGTGTTCAGGCTTCAATCTTTCAGTTTCAAGTGTCCAAAAGCGTTTCCTCGTCATTTCTATCAATTTTATTCAGGTTCAGGTTTCTTCCAAAAGCGTTTCTCCAGTTTCAAGTGTCCAGGCTTCAGCCAGTTTCAAAAGTCATTTCATTTCTATCAAGTTTGTTCAGGCTTCACTCTCCAGTTTGTCCAAAAGTGTCCAAAAGGGTTCAGGTTTTTCCAGTTTCAAGTGTCCAAAAGCGTTTCCTCGTCATTTATCAAGTGTGTTCAGGCTTCACTCTCAGTTTCAAGTGTCCAAAAAGGTTTCTCGTCATTTTATCAGTGTGTTCAGGCTTCACTCTCCAGTTTCAAGAGTCCAAAGCGTTTCCTCGTCATTTTTTATCAAGTGTGTTCAGGTTCACTCTCCAGTTTCAAGTGTCCAAAAGCGTTTCCTCGTCATTTCTATCAATTGTGTTCAGGCTTCACCTCCAGTTTCAAGTGTCCAAAAGCGTTTCCTCGTCATTTCTATCAAGTGTGTTCAGGCTTCACTCTCCAGTTTCAAGAGTCCAATCAAGTGTTCAGGCTTTCTCAGTTTCGTCATTTCATTTCTATCAAGTGTGTTCAGGCTTCACCTCCAGTTTCCTCGTCAAGTTCAAGTGTGTCCAGGTTTCCTCGTCATTTCTATCAAGTTTTTCTTCGTCTCCATTTTCAAGTGTCCAAAAGTGTTTCCTCGTCATTTCATCAGGGCTTCACTCTCCAGTTTCAAGAGTCCAAAAGTTTCCTGTCATTTCTATCAAGTCATTTCTCCATCAAGAGTCCAAAAGCGTTTCCTCGTCATTCCTATCAAGTGTGTTCAGGCTTCACTCTCCAGTTTCAAGTGTCAAGAGTCGTCAAAAGCAGGCTTCACTCTTCGTCAAAAAGCGTTTCTATTTCATCAAGTTTGTTCAGGCTTCACTCTCCAGTTTCAAGAGTCCAAAAGCGTTTCCTCGTCATTTCTATCAAGTGTGTTCAGGTTTCTTCAAGTGTCCAAAAGCGTCTCATTTCAGTTTCCAGGCTTCCTTCTGAGTCCAAAAGCGTTTCCTTCGTCATTTCGTCAAGTTCTTCATCAAGTGTCCAAAAGCGTTTCCTCGTCATTTTCAAGTTTCACTTCTCAGTTTCAAGTGTCCAAAAGCGTTTCCTCGTCATTTCTATCAAGTTTATTCAGGCTTCACTTTCCTCCAGTTTCAAGTGTCCAAAAGTTTCAAGTTTCCTCGTCATTTTTCTATCAAGTGTGTTTCAGGCTTCACTCTCAGTTTCAAGTGTCCAAAAGCGTTTCCTCGTCATTTTTATCAAGTGGGTTCAGGCTTCAAAAGTCTTTCTCCAGTTTCAAGTGTCCAAAAGCGTTTCCTCGTCATTTCTGTGTTCAGGCTTCAAGTTTCAAGTGTCCAAAGCGTCATTTCTATCAAGTCGTTCAGGCTTCACTCTCCAGTTTCAAAGTGTCCAAAGTTTCGTCATTTCTATCTGTTCAGGCTTCATTTTTCATCAAAAGTTTGTTTTCATCAAGTTTGTTCAGGCTCAGTTTCAAGTGTCCAAAAGAGTCATTTCTATCAATTGTGTTCAGTTTCACTCTCCAGTTTCAAGTGTTCAAAAGCGTTTCCTCGTCATTTTTATCTATCAAGTGTGTTCAGGCTTCACTCTCCAGTTTCACGTGTCCAAAAGCGTTTCCTCGTCATTTCTATCTCCAGTTTCGAAGTGTCCAAAAGTTCAGGCTTCACTCTCCAGTTTCAAGTGTCCAAAAGCGTTTCCTCGTCATTTCTATCAAGTGTGTTCAGGCTTCACTCTCCAGTTTCAAGTGTCCAAAAGCGTTTCCTCGTCATTTCTATCAAGTTTATTCAGGTTTCACTCTCCAGTTCAAGGTGCGTCCAAAAGCGTTTCCTCGTCATTTCTATCAAGTTTGTTCAGGCTTCACACTCCAGTTGCAAGTGTCCAAAAGCGTTTCCTCGTCATTTCTATCAAGTTTGTTCAGGCTTCACTCTCCAGTTTCAAGAGTCCAAAAACGTTTCCTCGTCATTTCTATCAAGTGTGTTCAGGCTTCACTCTCCAGTTTCAAGTGTCCAAAAGCGTTTGTCATTTCTATCAAGTGTTTCAGGCTTCACTCTCCAGTTTCAAGTGTCAAAAGCGTTTCCTCGTCATTTCTATCAATTTTATTCAGGCTTCACTCTCCAGTTTCAAGTGTCCAAAAGCGTTTCCTCGTCATTTCTATCGGTGTGTTCAGGTTTCACTCTCCAGTTTCAAGTGTGTTCCTCGTCATTTCATCAAGTGTTTCAGGCTTCACTCTCCAGTTTCAAGTGTCCAAAGCGTTTCCTCGTCATTTCTATCAAGGCTTCACCTCCAGCTTCCAAAAAACTCTCAGTTTCCGTCCTCGTCATTTCTATCAAGTGTGTTCAGGCTTCAACTCAGTTTCAAGTGTCCAAAAAGCGTTTCCTCGTCATTTCTATCAAGTTGTTCAGGCTTCACTCTCCAGTTTCAAGTGTCCAAAAACGTTTCCTCGTCATTTTCTATCAAGTGTGTTCAGGCTTCACTCTCCAGTTTCAAAGTGTCCAAAAGCGTTTCTCGTCATTTCTATCAATTGTGTTCAGCTTCACTTCTTTCAAGTGTCAAAAGCGTTTCTGTCATTTCTATCAAGTGTTTCAGGCTTCCAGTTTCAAGTGTCCAAAAGCGTTTCTTCGTCATTTCTATCAAGTGTGTTCAGGCTTCACACCAAAAGCGTCTCCTCAGTTTCTATCAAGTGTGTTCCAAAAAAAGCGTCTTTCTATCATTTCTTCCTCTCCAGTTTCAAGTTCCTCGTCATTTCTATCAATTTTATTCAGGCTTCACTCTCAGTTTCAAGTGTCCAAAAGCGTTTCCTCGTCATTTCTATCAAGTGTGCAGGCTTCAAGTGTGTTTCAGTGTCCAAAAACGTTTCCTCGTCATTCTATCAATTTTCAAGTGTCCAAAAGCGTCCAAAAGTTCCTCGTCATTTCTATCAAGTGTGTTCAGGCTTCACTCTCCAGTTTCAAGTGTCAAAAAGCGTCTCCTCGTCATTTCTATCAATTTTATTCAGGCTTCACTCTCCAGTTTCAAGTGTCCAAAAGCGTTTCCTCGTCATTTCTATCAAGTGTGTTCAGGCTTCACTCTCCAGTTTCAAGAGTCCAAAAGCGTTTCCTCGTCATTTTCTATCAATTGTGTTCAGGCTTCACATTTCTCCAAGTTTCAAGTTTCCAAAAGCGTTTCTTCGTCATTTCTATCAAGTGTGTTCAGGCTTCACTCTCCAGTTTCAAGTGTCCAAAAGCGTTTCCTCGTCATTTCTATCAAGTGTGTTCAGGCTTCACTCTCCAGTTTCAAGAGTCCAAAAGCGTTTCCTCGTCATTTCTATCAATCTGTGTTCAGGCTTCACTCTCCAGTTTTAAGTGTCCAAATGCGTTCCATTTCTAGTTACCTCTCACGTCATTTCTAAATCAATTTCAACGAGTGTCCAGGCTTCAAAACCTCTCTCCAAAGTGTCCAAAAGCGTCTCCTCGTCATTTCTATCAATTTTGTTCAGGCTTCACTCTCCAGTTTCAAGTGTCCAAAAGCGTTTCCTCGTCATTTTATCAATTGTGTCAGGCTTGTGTTCAGGCTTCATTTTCTCCAGGCTTCACTCCAGTTTCAAGTGTCCAAAAGCGTTCCCTCGTCATTTTTATCAAGTGTGTTCAGGCTTCACTCTCCAGTTTCAAGTGTCCAAAAGCGTTTCCTCGTCATTTCTATCAAGTGTGTTCAGGCTTCACTCTCCAGTTTCATGTGTCCAAAAGCGTTTCCTCGTCATTTTTATCAAGTGTGTTCAGGCTTCACTCTCCAGTTTCAAGAGTCCAACAGCGTTTCCTCGTCATTTCTATCAAGTGTGTTCAGGCTTCACTCTCCAGTTTCAAGTGTCCAAAAGCGTCTCCTCGTCATTTCTATCAAGTGTGTTCAGGCTTCACTCTCCAGTTTCAAGTGTCCAAAAGCGTTTCCTCGTCATTTCTATCAAGTGTGTTCAGGCTTCACTCTCCAGTTTCAAGAGTTCAAAAAAGCGTTTTCCACGTCATTTCTATCAAGTGTGTTCAGGCTTCACTCTCCAGTTTCAAAAGTGTCAAAAAGTGTGTTCTTTCTCCAGTTTCGTCATTTCTATCAATTTTATTCAGGCTTCACTCTCAAGTGTCCAAAAGTTTCAAGTCATTTCTCAAGTCAGGCTTCAAAGTTTCAAGAGTTCAAAAAGTCTCCTCAAGTTTCCTCGTCATTTCTATCAATTTTATTCAAGCTTCACTCTCCAGTTTCAAGTGTCCAAAAGCGTTTCCTCGTCATTTCTATCAAGTGTGTTCAAGCTTCACTCTCCAGTTTCAAGTGTCCAAAAGCGTTTCCTCGTCATTTCTATCAAGTGTGTTCAGGCTTCACTCTCCAGTTTCAAGTGTCAAAAAGCGTCTCCTCGTCATTTCTATCAATTTTATTCAGGCTTCACACTCCAGTTTCAAGTGTCCAAAAGCGTTTCCTCGTCATTTCTATCAAGTGTGTTCAAGCTTCACTCTCCAGTTTCAAGTGTCCAAAAGCGTCTCCTCGTCATTTCTATCAAGTGTGTTCAGGCTTCACTCTCCAGTTTCAAGTGTCCAAAAGCGTTTCCTCGTCATTTCTATCAAGTGTGTTCAAGCTTCACTCTCCAGTTTCAAGTGTCCAAAAGCGTTTCCTCGTCATTTCTATCAAGTGTGTTCAGGCTTCACTCTCCAGTTTCAAGTGCCCAAAAGCGTCTCCTTGTTATTTCTATCGAGTGTGTTCAGTTGAATTCCTTAGTTGCACCAGTCCTAACCTCAACGACTGAGATCCCTCAGGCTACGTTCATTGCAGCTAACCACTCTCATTCTCTTTGTATTCTCCTGTTCGGATATAAGTTGTACTAAAAACAATATCAAGAAAAATGTTACCGACTGGTCAGAATTGCCAAAAGGTCAGAGAAGTACATATCCCGAGATGAAGCCGGTCCGTTCGATTTCATATTTGAGTGCGAAGTTGTGTAATTAAGTAATTAAGTATCTCCATGCCTGCGAGATGAATGGCATTAGTGATGAAGCACAAAAATCTATACTGTCAGATATTCTGTCTAAAAAGCAACAATCCTGAGACGAAGGTGGGCGAAAACGAAAGAAGACCTAACTAACCGACTTTAATAGTCAAAGTCGGAAGCACTTACCCCCCTTGGGAAAATTAATTGAAATAACGCTTTAGTTTCCTTTCTTTCACCGTACGGTCATTTTTAGACCCACTGGAGTGACACGGTGTAATCGATTTTTTTTCTCCTCAGATTAGGTCATTTATAGTCGTGTGCAGTAATATAAATCTATTTTCGGGGCGTATGATGAAATTTGTTTGGCCTTGAAAAGATAGTGCGTCATCCGTGATTACATCAAATTTTCATCACGCACAGACATTATTATCTCGACTGTCGATTAGTTTTCCTAAGGTCATTGCAATGTGCATTACACCAAAGAAGCGTACGAAAATTGTAACGCTTCACGAACCCACTGGCAAGCTTTACTAGTGAGCAAATCAAAGTACTATACACTGGCCCAGAAACTCTCCTGATTTAAATCCAGTCCAGAATCTGTGGTCAATCTGCAAGGAACGACTTTTTGGAATGGACATACGAAGTGCGCTGGGTCATGTTTCATTGGAAAAATAAGAACAAAATTAAATAATAACAGAATTATTCGTTTTATTTCAATTCATTTGCACCAGGGTGTATAAGAATAATCGGGTGCCTCAATGAAGTAAAAGGGAAAAGAAAAAATCAAACGATCTTTTCATTTGGTTAAATGTCTCGACTTTTGTTAAATTGGCGCCAATTAAGAAGTGAATTTATCGTTACCGTTACCCCCCCGCGCCACCAAACCTATGGCCTGTTCAAACGGAGAGAGAAAAAGAAAGTATAGATTTGCTTGTACTCATAAAGGCATAACGAATTTCAACTTTTTTCTTCAACTCACATATTTGAAATCTCAGATACGAAAGAAAGAATTCCTTTCTTTAAGAATCTCTGCTCAAACAAATTGTTCATTTAGATAAAATGAAATCCATACATGTATGTACACACACACACACACACACACACACACACACACACACACACACACACACATATATATATATATATATATATATATATACATATATAAACAATGAAATATGAAAATCGCACTGAAGTTTGAAACCGACAGTAACCATTCTGGTCTGCTAAGTATATGCTCTCTCTCTCTCTCTCTCTCTCTTAATACATACATACATACATATATATATATATATATATATATATATAGTTGTGTATTCGGGAAGCAATTCCTCTCTTATACATGATTCATTAAAAATGATTGACAAGATTTTTCTGTTTTATTCTGGGTTTTGTTGCGTGCGAACAAGAATCTCCTTTTTGTAAACTATTCAAATAATTTTTTGTTTTACGGCTAACCGGTTCTTCATTTCCATATTTTTGGATTGTGCTATTGCAAAAGATGTGTTAGTTGCTGAGAGATAACTATTTTCAATTCTCGAATACGGCCAGTAGATTATGGCCTTGATCGTAGTTGACGCTAGAGGTTATTTATTATTCGTTATATCAATAGCTATGTCTCCGAGTGTGGGTCGCTCCACACAGGGACATATTCTGTGAGAATTCTATTTCATGTAAGAGAGCTTATAAAATTTATGAACCTAATTTTCACGATACGCATTTTCAAAACCCCATTAAGGACCATAATAGTTCAGTGGAGACTAGCAAAAGCTAAAGTTCATTCGATGGTTTGTTGGAAAGTTTAAAGCGTTTTGTATGGAGGGAGTAAGACTTGGTAGACCTGCCAGGTGTGCGTTAGTTGTGTTCAGGTGATGGAAAATATGATGAAAGTTTTGTAATCTAATTTGTGGTGTCAAGCTGAAATCATAACCAGAGACGAGGGTTGGGGAAAGAGGATGGCTGGAAGCCGAGCGAAGAATCAAGATAGCGTGGAGACGTTTAAGAGGCGCACTATTTCAATTAAACCTTACCTACATTGTAAATATAGGTCACTGTCTATGTCTGTAGCCTTCTGCACGACATACCAATACCCAGGGACATACTGATCAAATAAAAGTGCACGTACATACAGACACCCACCAACTCCCATATATATATATATATATATATATATATATATATATATATATATATATATATATATGCATAATACTTTTTTTTAATTTGAGAGCAAAATAATATATGTATATTAGGGTAATACAAATGCAGCAGACATCCTCTTATAGGAAATGCTTGAGAAATCTTAGTAGTTTTCTACTAATTTACTAGGGGTTTTATTATTTATTAGATAGATAGATAGATAGATAGATAGGAACGGACTGACGCAGATAGATAGATAGAAGGATATGAACGGACTGACACAATAAATAGATAGATAGATAGATAGATAATGAACAGACTGAGATAGATAGATAGATAGATAGATAGATAGATAGATAGATAGATAGATATCAACGGACTGACATAGATAAATAGATAGATAGATAGATATGAACGGACTGATATAGACAGAATACTCAAATCTCATCTCTCTGACCATAGCTCAATAAGGTCTCAATTAAATACACATGGAGAACTACCAAGCAATATCCACAACGTACTCGTTGGTAATGCAAATAAAATAGCCTCATCGACATGTAAAAAAGAGGCTAAAAATAATGGAACCATTATTAATAAAAAAAAAAAAAATTAAGTATGAAGACGGTTATAATGTTCTGACCGTGATTGGAAAGTAAAGCATTCCTATAACAGTAGATAAATACATTAAACAATTCATACATACAGTTAGAAATACAAATACAATTCATCTTTGATAATGGCTAAAGATAATGGCTGGAAACACATTACATTTGGAAATTTTCTATATAATTTATGTCCAGTAAAGAAGAAAATTTTAACACAGGAAACATTAAATAAAATACTTAATCGCATAAACTAGCATATATATATATATATATATATATATATATATATATATATATATATATATATGGTGTGTGTGTGTGTGTTGATATAACTGTAAAGAACTGTTAGATTGATTATCTGAAGTCCATTAGTATTTTTGTTTTTTATTTTTAAAAACAGTGCTCAAGTAGAGCCTAGATTATAATTATTTAAAAAGAATATATTTCCATAGCGACACAAAAAATAATGTTTCGAAACTCGTCAGAGGTATTCAGGTTTAATTTCAATATTAAAGCCAATTAATTAATTAGTTCCAAAGATCTCTTGAGGATGAGACTAGCACCCCGTAGTAAAGGTTTGTCGCGATGGAATCATATTTTAAAAAATAATCATTATATATATATATATATATATATATATATATATATAGTCGACTCTCCCGCCGAGATTCGACGTATGAGGGTCAAGCAGATCAGTTTCCAGGAAACCGACAGCCCGACACCGGCACATAAGATTTGATTATAGTGGTGAAGGCTTTGTGCAGGACCATCCACACTTTTTGAAGGGACGAATACAGAGACCTGGTGCACTAAGTGCCACAAGGTCACCAAACGACCCTCCGCAGGTTTTGAATTCAGAGTTGTCCTTCTCCTGGACCAGTTGCCATCCAAGGCTATAGAACCCAGTTTGTCATGCTATTTTACCCATAGCTGGAGGGAGAGGAAGAGGATTCATACCTTTCCCAAGGGTATTAGCACGTAAGTTAATGAAATGGATTCGACTGGAATTCGAACTCGGCATGCTTTTCATATCTCGCTGTTTAAGTCTGTTCATATCTATTTGTCATTCCATAACTGTGAGATAGGAGTGAACAGATTTAGAAATATATATTCATAAACAGAGTCTTATTGATAAATAGATAGATAGATAGATAGATATGAGAGGACTCATATAAACAAATAGATTTAATGTTAATTGCTCTAAGGAAGTTTCTTTATTAATTGTTTCTTGTTTACCTACAACAGAATGTATGTCTTGATGCAGTAAATGTTCGGCTCTATGCAAATGTTTTGTAATGTTTCGCTTTTGGCTACACTCCTGGCCACTCACCACATCAGAGACATTTAAATGAAAAAGGAAACTATAGGCCTTAGTAATTTTTTTTTCAATCTATCAATTCCTTTTATCCTCAGTTCAATGAAGCATTTCTTCGTTTCGATGACGTCATCCATGAAGCAATGTACCATCCACGTTCTACACAGATGATGTATTTATCATTTGTTAAAAACATCCAGCATCTCTGAAATTAAATGAACAAGATCTTAATTAGCTTAGCGTTTTGGTTTTATAAATCCCATTTTGTTGAGCCTCCTCCTCGTAATCAATTATGCATATTTGTGCATTATTGACCTTTTTCCACATATGATTAGCTAAACAATTTTCAACACTCACTTTGCATTTGTTTACGACACTTTGTGTTTGTTTACCACTTTGCATTTATTTAATATTGAATCAAATAATATCCAATGGCCGTAGATTGGTACACGCTAATGAATCAGCCCATAAGACATGGACAATTTTATATGGCGATGGCATCATTCGTGATTAGGGATTTATTTTAAAATTGCTCATCGATAGATGATCGAATGATGATACTAAGTCACAGAATTATTGATTTACTAACAGCCCTACCCAACTGGTCGATCAAAAAAAGCGTTCAATTAGAATGGAGCAAAAACAGCATCATGTTTAGATGTAATAGAGTCTATCTTCTTCATTTACTTTAAAATGAAAAACATTTTGAATTAATGCGTTACTGATATAACGGAAGTAGTCTGTATTTATTCAAACGAAGTTAGCCGAGGACATGAAGGGGTAAAACAGGCAACATGAAGATCCACTTCAGACCACAATTATTTTAGAGTTATGAAATTCAATTTGTCAGGGCTCTACTAGGGATGTAAAAGAGAATATATTTATAAAACAATTGTTAAGTTTGATGAAAATTGGTTGAAAGTTCAACGAAAAATAAGAAAGAAACCAATAAAAAAATCGCCATTTTTCGCTATTTTCGCGCGTTTTCACTATATGGGTTGATTCAATTATCAAATTAAATGACTGTTAAACAACTTATTGTTGACTACAATTTAGTGAAGTTTGTGTTAGATTGCTTGAAAAGTGAGGGAGATTTTAGTTTAAAATTTGTGTTGAAATCGATTTTTACTTTTTCGCGGTTTTTCACTAAACGAAGTGGCATCGAAATGAGGTATCATTAAGCATGTCATGATGTATGTAACCTACATACCGAGTTTGATCGGCGTTATCGATTATTGATTTTTTTAAAATTATCGATGTTTTGCCCAAAGAACCTCTCTCTTACATTGTAAAATGTTTGTACCAAATTTGATCAAAATCGGTTGGATAAACCTCTAGTGAGAAGGTATCAAACTGACAGACAGACACACAGACATCCTCTGTTTTATAGATTAACGTACAGGAGATGATCTTGAATTAAACTCTCGTTTCTACTGACAATTTGATTCAATGAAATAGTTGAATTTTATTATATTTATTGCTGTAATTTCGATAGATGTGTTAGCTTGGCCATTACATGTCGATATTTGCCAGACTATTTATCGACATTTTTATTGTTTAAGGTCATCTTGGAAACTAAAAATATGAGGTACTCATAGGTAAAACACCTTTATAAATAAACACAATAAATCTCAGAATATGGTATAGATGGTTTAACATGTACAAATAGTTCATATATATATATATATATATATATATATAACCATGAGGTACTATTGGTATGACGTTTGTCATAAGTGTCCGGGTTTCAATTCACGCTAGTGAATGCGCGGAATCTATTATTTAGCATCTTATTCAATTCATTTTCTCTTTTTTTCCTTTACAACTCTACAAATTTAAATGAAAATTCATCCTTCATTTTAAGAAATACCTTTGTGGAAGCTGATAAAACAATCTGAATAGTCCATTTAATAAATACGATTTCTTCATTCATTGCAACGTATGAGAAACCCAAAACTCTTGAAACCCAAAGAACAGGTGCTCTACGGAAGATTTCTGCAAGATCTTTGAGGAAATTAATGCGTCAAATTAAACAAAATCCAATTGTTACTCGTCATGAATTGCAGGGTGATATGTGACAAGAATCTGTGTCACTAAAAGGACAATAATCAATGAAATTCATAGAAACAATGAAAAGTCAGGCTCCCCACCCCAGGAAAATCTGCACTGGTATTGAAAAAGATACAGAAATGCCAGGTTGAAATC